GCTTGAGACAGAGTCTCGCTTTCTTGCCTAGGCTACAGTGAGTGCCGTGGCGTCAGCCTAGCTCACAGCAACCTCAAACCCTGGGCTCAAGCGATCCTCCTGCCTCAGCCTCCCGAGTAGCTGGGACTACAGGCACGAGCCACCATGCCCGGCTGATTTTTATATATATATTACTATTATATTTAGTTTGGCCAATTAATTTCTATTTTTATGGTAGAGATGGGGTCTCGCTCAGGCTGGTTTTGAACTCCTGATCTTGAGCAATCTGCCCACCTCGGCCTCCCAGAGTGCTAGGATTACAGGTGTGAGCCACCGCGCCCGGCCTGGGATTGAACTTCTTGATTCCCTTCTTTTTTTTTTTTTTGAGACAGAGTCTCGCTTGTTGCCCAGGCTAGAGTGAGTGCCGTGGCGTCAGCCTAGCTCACAGCAACCTCAAACTCCTGGGCTCAAGCAATCCTGCTGCCTCAGCCTCCCGAGTAGCTGGGACTACAGGCATGCGCCACCATGCCTGGCCAATTAATTTCTTTCTATTTATAGTAGAGACGGGGTCTTGCTCTTGCTCAGGCTGGTTTCAAACTCCTGACCTTAGGGAATCCGCCCGCCTCAGCCTCCCAAAGTGCTAGGATTACAGGCGTGAGCCACCGTGCCCGGCTCTTTTTTTTTTTTGAGAGAGTCTCGCTTTGTTGCCCAGCCTAGAGTGAGTGCCGTGGTGTCAGCCTAGCTCACAGCAACCTCAAACTCCTGGGCTCAAGCAATCCTCCTGCCTCAGCCTCCGAGCAGCTGGGACTACAGGCATACGGCCACCATGCCGGCTAATTTTTATATATATATATTAGTTGGCCAATTAATTTCTTTTCTATTTATAGTAAGACGGGGTCTTGCTCTTGCTCAGGCTGGTTTCGAACTCCTGACCTTGAGCAATCCGCCCGCCTCAGCCTCCCAAAGTGCTAGGATTACAGGCGTGAGCCACCTCGCCCGGCTCTTTTTTTTTTTTTTTTTTTTTTGAGACAGAGTCTCGCTTTGTTGCCCAGCCTAGAGTGAGTGCCGTGGTGTCAGCCTAGCTCACAGCAACCTCAAACTCCTGGGCTCAAGCAATCCTCCTGCCTCAGCCTCCCGAGTAGCTGGGACTACAGGCACGCGCCACCATGCCCGGCTAATTTTATATATATATATTAGTTGGCCAATTAATTTCTTTCTATTTTTATAGTAGAGACAGGGTCTCGCTCAGGCTGGTTTTGAACTCATGACCTTGAGCAATCTGCCCACCTCGGCCTCCCAGAGTGCTAGAATTACAAGTGTGAGCCACCACGCCCGGCCTTGATTCCCTTCTTAAAGGTTTTCTGACATATTATAAAGTCCCTACTCTAGAGAGGTAAAAAGCTATTCCTACATATAGGAATAACATTTATCGGGTGTCGGGCAGGGGGGTGGGGGGAGGAGGGGATGGGTATATCCAAACATGAGTGAGATGTGCAACGTTTGGGAGATGGGACAGATCCCATCTTTTCTACCATTGAAAGTAGGAGAGGGACTACTATGTAGTAGGAGAGGTCACACTTGAAGCTCTGACTCAAGGGAGGAGGGGGGCATGGGCAATATATGTAACTGTAACATTTGTACCCCCATAATATGAAGGAAGGAAGGAGGGAAGGGAGGGATGGCAGGGAGGAAGGAAGGAGGGAGGAGGAGAGGAGGGGGGAGGAGGAAGAGAGGACAGGAAGGAAGGGAAGGAAGGAAGGAAGGAAGGAAGGAAGGAGAGAAGGAAGGAAGGAAGGGAAGGAAGGAAGGAAGGAAGGAAGGAGAAAAAAAGAGAAAGAGGGAGGGAGGAAGAAAGGGAGGGAGGGAGGAAGGGGGAGGGAGGGAGGGAGGGGAGGAGGAGAGGAAGAGAGAGAGAGAGAAAGAAAGAAAGCTGTTCCTAGATATTTAGCCAGCTGAGAGTACCAAAGGGTTTTTTTTGTTCCAGGTATCTCCACTCCCTCCAATAGGAGCTGGCTGCCTATTTTCCTCTATTTCCTGAGGTCTTCTATTTCCCTCCAAACCCCAGCCTGTACTCCTACACATTCCAAGGTCATTTGCCTTTTTCTCATTGCTGGGGTCTATCCTTGCTTAGGAGGCAGTATCATCATCACTGAGTCTGCAGCATCCCACTAGAGGACTCTAATAAGATGAGATAAAACAATACATTACTGCACTTGGGTTCTAAACACCTCCTATATTTAAATAAAGTAGCTAAACATGTTTAATAAGTCAACAATGTGACAGTATCATGAAGGATCAAAAATTATGATGTGTAAAAGAATGGTTGAAGTAACTGAAGATATTTAATCTAGAGAAGAAAAGATTTGGGAAAACACATGATAGCTATTGTTAAATACTTAAAAGGGCAATCACAGGGAATAATGACTAGATTTCCTAACATCCATGAATAAAATTTATAGAGGTATACTCTTTGACTTGATATAAAGGAAGATTTTTAAAAACATGACTGTTTAGGCGTGTTCAAGTAGGGTCATATGACCAGTGATTGGGAATATTTCATAAGCAGGAGCAGGTAAGATCTGAGCCACTGTTCTATTAGTAGGGTGTCTGTGGTGTTCCTCAGTTAAAGAAGTACTATAAGCAACTTCAGTCCAATAAATTACTATCACCCCTCTTGGGCTTATGTGTTGGTTACGCTAAGGAACGCTAAGGAAGAAGTTTGGGAAGTTTGCATCCTGGAATAGCCAGACAGGAGCTTTCCTGAAGATACCCTTTTTTCAGTTCTCCAAACATCCACTCACAAGTGGTCTCAAAAACACCCAGTACCTTTACTTAGCTTCACCCGCTCAACAATATGCTCAATATGAGCAGTTTGACTCCCAAGCCTAGGTCAGGCCTAAGTGTTTCTCGTGAGCCACAGTCTTAGGCTGAGGAGCCTTGAGAGTTTGTGGAGGGAGAGCCCCCTTGCCCGCAGGGGTCTGTGATCACAGAAGTCTGTGGAAGAAGAGGGATCTAAGGAGTCCTGGGGAGGCAGGCCTAAAGGTCCAGGCCTGGCAACATCACTGTCCAGGAAAGCCCCAGTTCCTATGGCTCTGTGCATGGGAGCCTTTTGTTCTTGGCAGACTTCATTCCAGGGGTCCTGTGTGGACCAAGACTAGGGATTGGGCAGAAGGTGATGGCTGGGTGGAGGGAAGCCAGGCCGTCTAGTGGGGGAGGATGGCTGGAACATAGCACTGAAGTGGGCTCGGCTTTCAAGCTGCATACGGTGGCCCAGTGGGGAGGTGAGTCCACGGACAAAATGGATTCGAACCAGCCCCGACTGCCCCCCAGATACCAGCCATCCATATGAGTCCAGGTTTGGGCTGAAACGTACCTGTGAAGAGGAAATAAAAGAGAGATGCTCATGGGTGCTGCCTTAAGGTGACTCCTAGCTGTAAAAGCAAAAAGATGGGTCACAACCTGAAAGGACAGGACCACAATGGGGTGAGAGAGTTGAGAATGAGAAGCCAATGAGGTATGTTTATCATGCTCAGCAGTTACCAAGGCTATTTTCCCTACTTAGCTATTTATGTTACCTTTTCATCCCCATTTCCATTTCATTGATTGCAGGCCCAGAGTTAGGGGAAAATGAGAGTGGAGTGTGGAAAAGATGAGAGACTACCTTATGAATAGCCTCGAGCTGCAGCCTGTCCAGGCAAAGCTGAGAATGCCCCTCTCCCTCTTGCATGCGCAGCATTGGTTCTCTATGGAGCAGATCCTGGAATGTACCCTGGGGAGGGGAAGTAGAATAGAACAGAGAATGTGAGCATCTCCTTAGTTTTGCATCTTTATGGTGGAACTCAGGATTCTTACTATACAAGGACTAAAGTTTTCTACCTTTTCTAGTATCACATCCAATTCTCCTGGCGGCAACTTACCAAATCTGTGTCTTGAAAGAGCAAGTAGTGATGATTGACAGTTTCAGCATAAGTTCGAGCCTTGGGAGGGTTGGGGGCCCCAGATGAAGCAGAAGAGTGGTCTTGACCTTCAGGACTGTCCTGATAGGGCATTAGATCTGCTTTATAGATGGGCTAGAAAGGAGACCACGAGTTTAGGTTCTATAGTACTAAAGACAGAATAAAAGCAAAGAGAGAATAAACTGGTTTGGGGCAGAAAACACTTAAAGATGGAAGAAAGTAATATGTTTAAATATATTAAATGTATACTCAGATACAATAGGGTAGGGAAGATTATACACAACTCAGTGCCAAGACTTTCAGGGACAGTATCAGGGCTGGGAGACCTAGTACTAATTTGTACTCTACCAGGAATTGGGAGAGCATGTGGATTAGGATCCAAAAACTGCCATTAGATGTTCATATACGTACAAATCTTCGCTCTACAGGTCGCTTGACATTTATTGGATTCAGTGCCATATCAGGCAATATAGCAGCAATGAGCTCCCCGGATATATCTCCTGCAGCTATTGTCCCAAGCCAGTCGGATCCTGAAAGACTCTAATCAGAAGAGACAGATTTAATTCATTCATTTGTTCATACAGTCATTTAGTTCTCTAAACTGGTAACAACTGTACAGTCTAAGAGAGACACACAAACAAAAATGATTTTATCATAACCCATGTCCCTGATGATACAATTACCACACAGACATCCTTTCCTTCTATCCCAAATACTGCCTCTTCCTGACCACCACTAGTGAGCAAATGAACCATTTTCCCGTGTAATAAAGACTGCAGAAAAGAGAGGGGCTCACCCAGACAGTGCCTTTTCGGGGAGCAGTGAAGTAGGCCTTGAAACCATGGTAACCAGCATCAATATAATGAATCCCACAGAGTCCGTAACTGTTAAAGAAAGAGAAATAAAACCTTCCTTTTTCTAAGATTAGATTCATTTCTTCTCCCCAATTCTTTCCAGAATTAAAACCACTTCAGTGAATCAACTCTCAACCCTCCTCTCCCCACAACAATCTGGCATGCTTTGCACCCCAACCCTCAGAGCCAGTCCCCAGAGCTCCTCCTATCTCCATCCTGCCGTACGAGGCATAACAGTTGTCCTGAGCCACAGTGACACCATTGTAGGGGAGCAGCCAGGCCAGCTCTGTACTCAAGAAGCGCTTGATACAGTTTATTGGTTCATAAGGTCGTCGAAGGTCCCAGAATTTGATTTTCCGGTCGCTCCCCGCAGAGACAAGGAAGTGACTGTGAAAAGAAGGGAAAAGATCAAATCTAAATAAATCTGAAAGAGTTAGCCTGTCCCAGTCTTCACCTTCCCATTCCACAGATCTCTTATTCTATACCTGTTAGCTTTGCACCATTGAAGGGTACGCACAGCCTGGTCATGGGCTAGGAAACACTGGAAGGGGTAGAGTTTTAAGGAGCCATCAGAGAGCCGTATCCGCTGTAGAGGCGAGTTTGTGGGAAGGTTCCAGAAAACCACCATGCCTGCAGTAGGGACAGAATGTGTAGGGATTAAAGGTAGGTTCTTTCTTCCTGTTCTAATTTCTTTCTATGGCCTTCTAGGACCTTTGTCTTCTCTCAGAGCCAAACCACTATGAAAGAACACGGGGATCATGATTAGCTACCCAATACTCCCTCTATGGTTTAAAGACAACCTGATACTTCAGCCCCAGTTCTCATCAACAAAAAAGTAATAGCTTAGTCTGGAATCTGCAGTTGAAAGATGATAGACTGAATGCACTGTACCTAGTAGCCTCTACTCCCTACTGAATAAAAATAAATGCATTTTTAAAAAGTATAAATCTTCCAGAATAAGGGTTGGCAAACTATAGCACATGGACCAAATACAGGCTGCCACCTCTTTGGTAAATACAGTTTTATTGGAACACACCCACACCCATTCTATGTCTATGGCTACTTCCACGTTATAATGGCAGAGTTAAGTAGTTCCAACAATGGCCAAACAGCCCACAAAGCCTAAAATTACTATCTAGATCATTACAGAAAAAGTTTACTAACTCCACTTTAAGACAAAGAGAATAGCAATAAAGAAGCCAAAAGCAATAAAATGCAAAGAAACAGAAAACAAATGGACAAATAGAAACCAACTCAGGTGACCAAAACAGGCTGGCCCCTGATAAGGCCTGGCAGAGGAGAAGGTATTCAAAAGTATAACTGATAAAAATAAATTAAGGAATAAAAAGTTTAAAAATAATACCTGGGAAAAATATTTGTAGCTAAAATCCCTTTTATATATATATAAACTCAGGGAATTAGCATCTATGAACCTTTCTTGAAAAAAACTAATAGTGAATTATAGCTATGTACTATATTAATAAATAATTCAGCAATGGAGGGGGAAACTGAAATAAGTAGATGGGTAGAGACACTCAATCATTAAATAAATAACCTTAGGAATCAGGATAGCAGAACAGTACCAAGTATCATCTACCTTGACAATGTAAGAATATTATCAAAAGAAAAACAGAAGATGGAGAGAGGTATGATCTTGGGAAAAATGTGAGAGTGCTGATTTACTTATTTTCCTAGCTGAAAATCTGCTTATGGTGTCTAAAAATGAAACTGTCATTTAAAAACAATAACCTAATAACTCCAACTATAATGTTGTTTATAATCTTTTTTCTTTTTAATTCTAAAAGTATCTGAGGAACTAATATCTCTTATAGTGAAGGAACATTTATTAGGAGCTTACCTAATGTTTCAGTTTGACTTCACTATTTTTTTCTTCTATAAAATTAAGGTATAATTAAATTCAATACCTTTTAATTTAGAATAGCTTACATAGTATGATCCCATTTTTATAAAATTCTCTTTTCTCTAATCTTCTTATCTTTATGCATAGAGAACAGCATGAAGTGATATTCATCTGCTCAATTTTATTTTTTTTAATCCACCCAAGATAGTACTTCAACTACTCAATTTTTTTCTGAATGTAAAAATTCTAATGACTTATTTTTGTCTTTGTATTTTTTTACATTGCTTGAATATTTCTAACTATTATATAATGTCCAGCACCAAACCACAGAACAGAACAACCACCAAAAAACAAGGATACACAGAAAGTTTAAAGAGCAATAGCTCCTTATGTTTTACTTTGTTTTTACCATTATAGTATCCAGCAGCCAGGTGGTGGTGAGGGCTGGTAGGCATCCAGGCCAGGCTCAGGCACTGACCACATTCAGAGGGGTCTGAAGCTTGCATAGACCCCACCTGCAAGGTCGCCACACATTGTACCTATAGGGAAAGAAGAGATGGGACTAGGGCAGGGGTCCTCAAACTTTTTAAACAGGGGGCCAGTTCACTGTCCCTCAGACTGTTGGAGGGCTGGACTATAGTTTAAAAAAGACTATGAACAAATTCCTATGCACACTGCACATACCTTATTTTGAAGTAACAAAACAAACGAGCAAAAACACCCACATGTGGCCTGTGGGCCGTAGTTTGAGGATGCCTGGACTAGGGTTAGGGATACCTACTATTTGGAATGAAAGCTCTAATCAGTGTTTAATCCAGCAGGATAGGGTATTTTTCAGAACTAGGAGGAGACTCACCATGGAATCAGCAATGTGAGGCTCCAATAAGATGGAGCCTTAGCTAAGGTAGCAGGTTCTTCACTCACCTTATAGATGGCAGGCTTCACTGCATCTGTGAGGGAAGAAGAGCAGTAACTGATGCTATGGATCCTGAGGACTGAGCTCCTCACCAGGCCTTGCTCTTAAGTCAGTACCCTTCCCCTTGGATAATGACCTTCCCTTATCCTTTGTTGAGAAACCCTATCTTTCCACCACCAAGTTTATGAACCTACCTCTCTATCTGCTCCCATCTTCTTTCCTTCCATTATACCTGATAGTATAGTCCTTCCTCTTATCAGAAGGGCTAATCTCTTCACTCTGCAATCTTCTCATCCTCTCTCGCCTTTTCCAAAACATTGCTCACTCCAGTATCCCTCCTTTCTTTTTTTTTTTGAGACAGAGACTCACTTTGTTGCCCAGGCAAGAGTGAGTGCCATGGTGTCAGCCTAGCTCACAACAACCTCAAACTCCTGGGCTCAAGCGATCCTACTGCCTCAGCCTCCCGAATAGCTGGGACTACAGGCATGCGCCACCATGCCCGGCTAATTTTTTCTATACATTTTTAGTTAGCCAATTAATTTCTTTCTATTTTTTTAGTAGAGACGGGGTCTCGCTCTTGCTCAGGCTGGTTTCGAACTCCTGACGTTGAGCGATCCTCCTGCCTCGGCCTCCCAGAGAGCTAGGATTACAGGCGTGAGCCAGCGCGTCCCCAGCCCAGTGTCCCTCATTTCTCATGCATTATCCATTTGTTCTCCCCTTACTGGGTCATTCCTGTATTCCCCTGTAAACATGCCCTATTGTCTCCTACGCAAATAAACAGACAAAAACCTCCTTTACCCCTATCCACCCCTGCCACCACCCTCATTTATTCATTCCCCTTCACAGCCAAACTTCTTGAAAGAATCATCTCTACTTACTGTCTTCCCCTCCTCCCCTCCTATTCACTCCTCAAACCACTCTACCAGACCACAAAATATGGAACTTTCCAGGACTCAAACCTGAGTGCCCTCTTCTTTAAACACTCCATACTAAAAACAAACTAATTCAACAATAGAGCTGCCTTGCCTTGCCCCATACCTCTTCTTGCTCATCTTCAGCTCTATATTCCAACCCTCCATTCACATCAAAGACACTGTGTGTTTGTGTGATGCTAAGGGCAGGAAAGGTTGAGAATAGGATGGGAATAGGAGAGACAAGAAGAGTATGGAGGGGAGTTGGGTCCCATCTGTCAGCCTCAGCCCTTAGTCGCTCTTCACATAGCCAATTAACTGGAAGCAAGAAGGGGAAAGGCCTGAGAGTACAGAAGGAGGAGAGGGCAGATGATGGAGATAAAAGGTATTATGCTGAAAGAGTATAGTTGTAAGACTGCAAGAGAAAGAGAGTTCAAGAACATGTGAAGACACAGGGGACCTTGGAGAGGTGGCTGAGTGAGACTTCTCACTAGAGAAGCTGGGCCCAGAGGACTCTCAGGGAAGATGGAAAGGCCCTGCTAAGCTCTGGCCACCGCTACAGCAGCCCCATCCTCCTTGCTGTGCTACTTACCTGGGGACTGCTGAGCCAGCAGGGCCTCAGGATGGGGTAGACTGAAGAGCAGCACCTTCCCATCTGAGCAGGCAAGAGCCAAGAGACCCAGTCGGGCGAGGAGAGGAGCCTAGAGAGTGAGAGCAGATCTGTGCTGAGGCTTGCTGCCTTCAGGCGCCTCTCAGAAAACCTCTGAGGTTCTAATCCCTGAAAATACAATATGAAGTTGCTGGGAAAACTTCATCTACCATACTCCAACTGTCCTTCCCCCAACTCTCAGAAATCCTAGGGCCTCTTTGTCCTGGCTGAGTCCTAGGGCCATCTCACAGTCAACTGAGAAGTACCTTCCGTGGGGTGCCTGGAAGTTCCCATGCTCCACTGGGGCAGAACTTGAGGTCCCAGATACAGCCGTGGTCACAAGCAATCCCATAGACAAAGTGGGCCCTGTTGCCAGGACTGGAGAGAGAGAGAGAGCATGTGGGTGGGGACAGTGGGTAGCAAGAAGGGGCCTAGGGCTGCCAGACTATGCTCCTTTTGTCTCAACCCAGAGCAAGCCCTTCCCCCTATCCTGCCCAGGCCCCATCCTGCTGTCCAACTCAACCACCCCCCATGGCAGTGTCCAGCCCCACCTCACCAGCTTTCTTGCTGCAAAGTCCCAAGGCCCCAGAGCTGGAGCAGCCCAGGGCCCGAATGAAGCTGACTCAGTGGGTGTGTCTCATTCATGTCAGGGCTGGAGAAAAGGGCCACATACTGCGAGGCTCCTGCCCCCTCTGGGACTGGGCACCAGTCCAGAGCCCAGAGTGGTCCCCCAGTGAAGAAGGACACATCCCAGCGCTCTGGATGTGCTGTGATAGAGCTAAATCTAGAAAAAAGTCAAAGAAAGATGGGATGAAAAAAAAGAGTTAATTAAAAAATCTCCCTAGCTTCCCTTGGTCTGGCTGGCAGTGATAAGCATTACAAATTAGAGAGGGGTGACCAGATCTAGCCAGGACTCTTGTCCTTGGGACCAACAGGGCCAGCATCAAGGGAAGGACAGGACTAATCTGTCATCCCTTTCAACATTCATTTTTCCTGTTTCTGGCTCCTAGAATCAGAAAAAAGGGCTAAGGACAGTCTTTACCTGTTGATTCGGTAGAGTGTGCCATCTTCAGGTAGCCCTTCACGTTGTACAGAAAACAGTGGTGACTTCTCCTCCTGGGGCAGGTAGGGAGCAGCCTCACTGGAGGAAGGCAAAGGAACAGCCTGAATTTGGAAGAGGTTCACCCATCCCAGGATTCCCATTATAGATCCAGAGTCCTCTGTCACCCTTTCGTCTCCAGTGGTGTCACCCTTCTTGGGCTTCAGAGATGTTGCTTTGACTTACAGCTCGGATAACAAGTGCCACTTCCAGGCTAAAGGAATCCACTCAGCAAACTCCCAGTAGGAATGCTTCTGTTCTCGGCTGGAGAAACAGAAGAAGCATCAGTGAAGGAGGAGTGGGATACTAGAGCAGTGCAGTCCAATAAAACTTTCTGTGAGGATGGAAATCATCTATCATCTGTGCTGTCCAATACACTAGCCACTACCTGTAAGTATCTAGTGGGTACCTAAAATGTGGCTAGTGTAGCTGAGAAACTTTTCATTTAATTTGAATTAGAGTTATAGAGCTCTTGCCTTTGGAGCGGTGCTTTTTAGTAATGAATGTCATCACGGTCTTCCACACATCAGTGCTCCTCTCTTGCCCACAACCCACTTCTAAACTCTTCTTGCACTCCTCCTCCACCCCTGCATCCCTAGTCCCTACAAGCCCCAAGTCTCACAGGTCCTTGGTGAGATGGAGGCACTTCCAAACAGGAGCCATGATGTGATTTGGTAAGCCATTGGGAGCCACTCCTCGGCAGTGTGGCTTCTGTTTCTGAGGATCAAATTGAAGAAAATGTAAGAGAGAGAACTCTATGGGTTGGAGAAAGTCCTAAGAGACAGCTCTTTCCCGGGTTTTACTTTCCTTGGCACTATTTTCTCTGTAACCACTGCCCTATCAGCATCTTAAAAGATTTGTGTTTCAACCAGTACAATGACATCTCTACCTCCCCCTCCTACTTCTCCATTAAAACTGCAAAATCTGGTAACTATTTTCTGTTCACCTTCCTCAACATCTTCATGGCATTTTTTTATTGTTTTTTTTTTTTTTCATTTCAGCATATTATGTATTCTGTTTTGTTTTTTTGTTTGTTTGCTTGTTTTTTGAGATAGGGTCTTACTCTATTGTCCAAGCTGGTCTCAAGCTCTCGGGCTCAAGCAATCCTCCCACCTCAGCCTCCTGAGTGGCTCGGACTACAGTGTGCCACCAAGCCTGGCTCTCCATGGCATTTAATTCAGAGGACTCCCATATGCTTCTTGAAACTCCTGCCTTATGATCCCATAGGATTGTTTCCCTTACTCTTCCCACCTCTCTAATATTCCTTTGCAGGCTCTCCTCCCTCTGATAGGTCTGGACAGAGATGGAATTCCCCACTCCCTGTCTTCTAGCCCTTCTGTACATGCTCTCCTAGTAATCTCATCCCATGTCCCATGACTTTGACTACTATTTTTTTTTTAAGAGATGGGGTCTCACTATGTTGCCCAGGCTGGACTCAAACTCCCTGGCTCAAACAATCCTCCCACCTCACCCTCCCTCCTGAGCAGCTGAGACTATAGGCACATGCCACCACACCTGGGCTTGACTACATCTTCCTCTTCTTTTTTTTTTGAGTCAGGGTCTCTGTCACCCATGGTAGAGTACAGTAGTGTCATCAAGCTCACTGAAGTCTCAAACTCCTGGGCTCAAGTGATCCCCCTGCCTCAGCCTCCTGAGTAGCTGGGACTACAGGCCCACACTACCATGCCCGGCTAATTTTTCTATTTTTTATAGAGACGGGGTCTCCATATGTTGCTCAGGCTGATCTTGAACTCCTGACCTCAAGTGATCCTCTCACTTTGGCCTCCCAAAGTTACTAGGATTACAGGCTTGAGCCACAGTGCCCAGCCCTTGACTACCATCTTTATGCCTGATTATCAAGTTTACACCTCAGTAAATGTAAACTTAGTCTCAATTTTTCTACAAGTTCCAAATAACATACAGTGTCCATAATGAAGCCTGAGGCAAAAGGAAAAATCAGTAATTAGTTTTTTAAAAAAGCAGTAAAGTTCTTGTCTTTATTTAAAATGTTGATATTTTATTCATCATGGATTTGTTATATTAATTTTAATTTTTTTAAATGTTGCATCTAACTATCATTTATGTTGATTACTAAGGGTTCTGGTCCTCTCTTAAATGTTGCACTTGAGGCAAGTAAGGCACTGGTCCCACATACACAACTGGTGACCAGACATCTCCAGCAGGATGGCCCAAGGCCCACAGGCACCTCCAACTCAACATGCAGAAAGTGACGCATCACCTCCCCTGCCCACCTTCACCCCCTCTCACATCTGCCACTCTTTTCATGTTCCTAAGCTCAGTGCATGATGCTCCCTATCTAAGCTGGAAACTCCTATTCAACTTCTTCCTTTCCTTTAATTCCCAAGTCCTGTTAATTCTCCTACCTATCTCTTGAATCTGCCCCCTCCCCCACTTCTCTTCCTTCACTGCTTGATCAGAAACTCACCATCTCTCACCTGGATAACTGAAGCTGTCTTCTAATTGTCAACTGCAGTTTGACCTACTTTCCTATCCTATCATGTTATTTTTCTATTTAAAAATGTTTTTTGTTCAGAGTTTCTGTTTGAGATGATGAAAAAGTTCTGGAAATGAAAAATGGTGATGGGTCGCACAACATTGTGAATACACTTAATGTCAGTGCATTTTTTAAATTTTTTATAGAGACAAGGTCTCCCTATGTTGTCCAGGCTAGTCTCAAATTCCTAGCCTCAAGCAATCCTCCTGCCTCAGCCTCCCAAAGTGCTGGGATTAGAGCCGTGAGCCACTGAACCCAGCCATCTTCTCTAGTTTAATCTCCCCTATGTGACAGAAGACAGTGAGGAAATAATCATCATCATCTCCCCTATGACCTTACCACACGTCCTATACTCCATCCATAATCAATTTCTGGGAAAACCATCCTCTCTGGCAAAATTCTATTCACCCTTCAAGACCCAACTCAGCTACCATTCCTCTGTGAAGCCTAAGCAGTTAATCACCCTTCCTTTGTATACCTAAAGCACTGGGTTTCCTCCTAGTGTAGTACTTATTACACTGTGAAACTCTGTAAGGCAGCATGCTGTCTTATTCATGTTTGTGATTCCTAACAGATAATACTCAATAAATGAACAAATAATCTTGTTTACTATGCCCCTCCCCCTCAATCTCTCTAGTATCTCAACTGTTTCTGAAATTGTCCCTTTCATCTTTTACCTGTTTTGCCTATCATAGTTACTAGGCCAAAGCTATCCTTCTGAGCACCTTGCTTGATGCTCTAAAAATCCTACTATTTTCCCATAAAATAGTAGGATGGATGACTTTGTCATCCATTCAGGTTACCCCTGAAGTGGATCCTCGTGGGATGCTTCGGGGCACTGCAGGCTCTGGGTCAGACGAGCTCTCACTTGGAGCCTCACTTTCTTCTCCATCTTGAGCCTCAACCTGAAGAACAAAGTCTTCATCCCGTGCAGTATCCTCCTCCTCTTCTTCACCTTGACAGGTCGTCTGCTGCCGGCTCTTCTTTGGTTTAGTGGGGCTGCTCACCTTGGGGGTCTCAGGTTGGGATACAGGAGCAGGCAGGGCTGTTGAGAGCTCTTCAGCCAGTTCCTGAAGATACAGAAGTGCCCTGTGGGAAAGGGCTGAGTCAGAACCTTATTCACATTTAACTGAGAGTCCACTTTTCTAGATTTGGTTGATTCTTATCTCAATGGATCCTCTCAGTAATCCCGTCATTAACCAATTAACGCTATTAATTTTCCCTTCTCCTTTGATAGATGAAGAAATAGAAATCCAGGAAAGTTAAGACTTGGCCAAGATGATTCAGATAACAAATGTGCAATCTGAACCCAGGTTTCCAACCCCAAGTCCAGTGTACTTTTCACTCTACTACAGTCAAAAAACCTAGAGGGCAGGGGGAAAGAATGGAAGGGCACATATATCCATATTGATATATACTGGGCAGTAAAACAGCAGTGAAGACCTGGGGAAAGTTTGTGAAAAATGTGATAGGGTACAAGGCACAGAAAGAAACACTTAGATAAACAAAGCTGGCAATAGATTCCCTAAAAGTTGCTGTGGTAAAAGCTAAAGGATTGCTCAAGTCCCCAAAATCCAGACACCACCCCTGCTTACCTGATACCTCATCATAATCTTCTCATGTCTCTAATATCTTCCCCACCCCAATCCCTTCACCCAGCCCCCCCTCCACCGAGCTGTGCCCCATATCCTTACACTTGGGCAGCCCTTCGGCGGGGTCGTTCCCCAGGAGGGGTCTCAAAGTCCTCAGGGGGCCTCTTTGGAGGTGGAGACTCTGGCTGATCTAGGTCTTTTGACAACTTCAGCAGTAGCAGCTCTGCCTTGGACTTTCGACCTCGTTTCTTAGGCATGGGGGTAGATAGAGGGTTGGATTGATCTAAGAGACCAGGAACCAGAGGGGCTGATGGAGGATTAGGTTGTTGGGGCCTTTTGGGGCCTTTTCGTGTCCTACCACCTCTCTTCCGGCCAGGCTTTGAGGCCCTAGGTTTTGTGACCTTTGACATCTCTGAAGAAAGATCTGTAGAGAAGAATATGGGTCTGTGAGATGGGACCAGAGCTCAAACCTCTTTGGAATAGATTATACTCTACCCAGGTTTGTAAAATCCTCTAAGCTCAACCTGCTCTCTTTCATCTTAAGCTACACATGGGGAGATAAAAAGATAAAAGAACAAGGTACATACCTTGCTGTTCCAGTCTGGAGAGGCTTTCCTGATCTGGAGGGAGCCTCATCTTATCAGGAGAATCCTCAAATCCAGGCAAAGGGGTAGGTAATGACATCTCTATAGAAGCCTCCGCACTGGTCATTTCTGAAGAGGCCTTGACATCAAGCTGGTTTAGCACCTCTTGTCCAGGAGAGTCTACCACAGTCATGTTCCCCACGGGGCCGGCCTCCCCCAAGGCAACATAGCCGACCCCGTAGGTATCCATCAGCACCCCCCAAAATGGCTGCCCCTGCATACAGAGACATGAGTAGAAGAATGAGCAGAAGTACAAAATGAGTATCTATACTCGCTCAGATTTTTCTGTTTCCCCATCTTTCTTTCCCTCACTCTCACAACCAGAAACTCAAGTTCCCTGATCATTCACTCATTCAATAATAATCTCTAACCACCTCCTATATGTCGGGCTCTGTACCAGAAACTGGTGAATGACAATAAGCAAGATAGACAAGGTCCCTGCCTTCAAGGAACTTACCTTCTGGTGGCACAAACAATAAACCTAATAATAAAGCTACCATCTATTAAATACTTACTATGTGCCAAGCACTACACTAAGTGCTTTATATCATTATTTAATTTAAAGTTCATATGTTTCTTTGTAAGGAAATAGCAGTGAATACACAATTATTCAACTCCTCTCCCTGAAGCCCAGTGAAATAAAACACATGCACAGACACACACACTCAAAAAAAAAAGAAAGAAGAATATAATCTATTATGAATCTAGGGAAGGGCCACAACTTCCTAAAATAACTATAAAGAATAGCTGCCAGATACTGTAAAATTTATACCAAACCAAAGGAAGATACCTACAGCTAACATCCATTTCTGTGAATATTAGTCAAGGAACAGGTTTATTTAAGAAGCTAAAGAGTTCTCTGGCCGGGCGTGGTGGCTCACGACCGTAATCCTAACACTCTGGGAGGCCAAGGCGGGCGGATTGCTCGAGGTCAGGAGTTCGAAACCAGCCTGAGCAAGAGTGAGACCCGTCTCTACTACAAATAGAAAGAAATTAATTGGCCAACTAATATATATATAGAAAAATTTAGCCGGGTATGGTGGCGCATGCCTGTAGTCCCAGCTACTCAGGAGGCTGAGGCAGGAGGATTGCCTGAGCCCAGGAGTTTGAGGTTGCTGTAAGCGAGGCTGATGCCACCGGCACTCACTCTAGCCTGGGCAACAAAGCAAGACTCTGTCTCAAAAAAAAAAAAAAAAAAAAAGAGTTCTCTAGTGCCTCGCCATCAATGTTTAACCTGGATGGGGTTGGTAGATAGGCTATGAGACAATTAGGGAAAATCCTATTTCATTAAGAGACCTTTCAACATTGAAGAATGGACTAAATTGTCATGAATCTTCACTTTCATCAAATCCAGAAGATCATCTGTGCAACCATGGACCAAAGTAAACTGAGATAAAATACTGATCACCAAATCAAAAACCTAAGCAACACAGAACTCTGCAAGGGCCCAGCAGTTTGGAGTAAGAATAACCTGCTTCTCTGTGACAAAGGGGAAGAAATGGTTCACATCCCAGGAAGAAACCCCCCATAGGTCTATATATGCCTTAAAGCTAAAGAATTCATCTGCCTCAGTGGAAAGTGTGTTAATACAAATCCTATATAAAATACACAAGTAGGCCAGGCTCCGTGGCTCATGCCTGTAATCCAACACTCTGGGAGGACAAACCAGGAGGATCACTTGAAGCCAGGAGTCCTAGACCAGCCTGCACAACAGTGAGACCCTGTCTCTATAAAAAATAGAAAACTTAGTCAGACATGGTGGCATACACTTATAGTCTCAGCTACTCATGAGGCTGAGGCAGGAGGATCCCTTGGCCCAGGAGTTTGAGGTTGCGGTGAGCTATGATGATGCCACTGCACTCTAGCCCGGGCAATAGAGAGAGAACCTGTCTCAAATATATATATAGCCGGGCAGGAGGCTGAGGCAGGCGGATCGCTCAACGTCAGGAGTTCGAAACCAGCCTGAGCAAGAGCGAGACCCCGTCTCTACTATAAATAGAAATAAATTAATTGGCCAACTAATATATATAGAAAAAAATAGCCGGGCATGGTGGCACATGCCTGTAGTCCCAGCTACTGGGGAGGATGAAGCAGTAGGATTGCTTGAGCCCAGGAGTTTGAGGTTGCTGTGAGCTAGGCTGATGCCAAGGCACTCACTCTAGCCTGGGCAACAAAGTGAGACTCTGTCTCAAAAAAAAAAAAAAAAAGACTAGCCTGGGTGACAGAGACCCTGTCTCTAAAAACAAAACAAAACACTAATAACAAAAAACCCCACATTTTCCTGGAAATAAAGGAAGACCTCAGGCTTACTGCATAAAATGAAAACAAAATCAGTAAGCAATCAAGACCAAGAAATATCTGAGTGAAGATAATAAATTTCAAAAGATAACAACACCTATGAGCATCTCAGCAGAAGAAACACAGCTCTTACAAAGAAAATCAGGCTAGCCTCAGAATTCTCAGAACATTAGATGCCCAAAGATAAGAGAATACTTAGATAGAGGGTCAGAGAATTCTCTATTTAACTGAGATGTCATTCATGTAAAAGCAACAGGATGACATTCTGAATATGCAAAGTTTCTAGGAATTATAACATTTGTGCACCCTTACTGAATGCAAAAAATCTAGTGGAAGACCTAATTTACGCAAATCAAAGGTAAATCATGGCTGACAGTGGCTCACGCCTGTAATCCTAGCACTCTGGGAGGCCGAGGTGGTTGGACCACTCAAGGTCAGGAGTTCGAAACCAGCCTGAGCAAGAGTGAGACCCCGTCTCTACTAAAAACATAGAAAGAAATTAATTGGCCAACTAAAATATATAGAAAAAATTAGCTGGGCATGGTGGCACATGCCTGTAGTCCCAGCTACCTGGGAGACTGGGCAGAAGGATCACTTGAGCCTAGGAGTTTGAGGTTGCTGTGAGCTATGACGACACCACTGTACTGTCAGGTTAGCAGAGCAAGACCCAATCTCAAAAAAAAAAAAAAAAATACAGAGCAAATAAAAGCAAAAAGAAAGTAGGAGTCTAGATGACCATAGCAAAGTTGAATTCAAGGGAAAAATATTAAATAGGACTAAAGGAGTACTTTATTTATTTATTTATTTTGAGACAGAGTCTCGCTTTGGTTCGCCTAGCTAGATGAGTGCCGTGGTGTCACCTAGCTCACAGCCAAACTCAAACCCTGGCTCAAGCATCCGCTCTGCCTCAGCCTCCCAATGGCTGGACTACAGGCATGGCCACCATGCCCGGCTAATTTTTCTATGTATATTGATTTGGCAATTACTTTCTTTCTGATTTTGATAGTAGAGATGGCCTGCGCACTGTGCAAACGCTCGACAAGCGCCGACTCGGACCTCCGCAGAAGCGAATTACAGGCGTGAGCCACCGCGCCCGGCCAAAAGGAGTACTTTATAATGAATAAAACTTCAAATCATATAAAAAACACATGACAAGAACCTTTAGACATCAAATAACAGCATCAAAATATGTGAAGCAAAATCTTCATGAAATATAAGAACAACTTCTTCTAATCATTGACAAATCAAGTAGATAATGACAAAGAATAAAACATTCATTGACCTCTATACTGGTCAAGGTTTAGCTGCATAGAATAGAATCCTCTCTAGCCAGTTCAAGCAGAAAGGAATTCATTACAGTGTTAAATGGTTCAAATCAGTCCTCAAAAGTATGGTCCCAGAAACAGCAACATCAGTATCACCTGCAAATTTGTTAAAATGCAAATTTCCAGCCTACCCCAGACTGGAGTAGGAATCAGAAATGCCAGATGGGACTAGCACTTTGTGTTTTAACAAGCTGTTCAGGTGATTCTGATCACACTCAAGTTGAAAACCACTTGCGTACAGAATTACTGAAAAAGTTCTCAGAAAACCAGTTTAGAAGTGCGTGCTTGTCAAATTGGGAAGTTGCTCTTACAGCTGCTAGTTCAAGAACCATATGCCATAATGGGAAGCCACCTGCTGACTCAACAGGCCCCTGCCACAGCTGATGGCTCCAATAACAAATTTTCCCTGCAATAATCAGAAAGTAACCTAATAGTATATAGCGGGGCAGGGAGCCTGAGGCAGGCGGATCGCTCAACGTCAGGAGTTCGAAACCAGCCGAGCAAGAGCGAGACCCGTCTCTACTATAAATAGAAATAAATTATGGCCAACTAATATATATAGAAAAAAATAGCCGGGCATGGTGGCACATGCCTGTAGTCCCAGCTACTGGGGAGGATGAAGCAGTAGGATTGCTTGAGCCCAGGAGTTTGAGGTTGCTGTGAGCTAGGCTGATGCCAAGGCACTCACTCTAGCCTGGGCAACAAAGTGAGACTCTGTCTCAAAAAAAAAAAAAAAAAAGACTAGCCTGGGTGACAGAGACCCTGTCTCTAAAAACAAAACAAAACACTAATAACAAAAAACCCCACATTTTCCTGGAAATAAAGGAAGACCTCAGGCTTACTGCATAAAATGAAAACAAAATCAGTAAGCAATCAAGACCAAGAAATATCTGAGTGAAGATAATAAATTTCAAAAGATAACAACACCTATGAGCATCTCAGCAGAAGAAACACAGCTCTTACAAAGAAAATCAGGCTAGCCTCAGAATTCTCAGAACATTAGATGCCCAAAGATAAGAGAATACTTAGATAGAGGGTCAGAGAATTCTCTATTTAACTGAGATGTCATTCATGTAAAAGCAACAGGATGACATTCTGAATATGCAAAGTTTCTAGGAATTATAACATTTGTGCACCTTACTGAATGCAAAAAATCTAGTGGAAGACCTAATTTACGCAAATCAAAGGTAAACGAGGCTGACAGGGCTCACGCCTGTAATCCAGCACTCTGGGAGGCAGGTCGGTGGACCACTCAAGGTCAGGAGTTCGAAACCAGCCTGAGCAAGAGTGAGACCCGTCTCTACTAAAAACATAGAAAAAATTAATTGGCAACTAAAATATATAGAAAAAATTAGCTGGGCATGGTGGCAACATGCCTGTAGTCCCAGCTACCTGGGAGACTGGGCAGAAGGATCACTTGAGCCTAGGATTTGAGGTTGCTGTGAGCTATGACGACACCACTGTACTGTCAGGTTAGCAGAGCAAGACCCAATCTCAAAAAAAAAAAAAAAAAATACAGAGCAAATAAAACAAAAAGATAAGTAGGAGTCTAGATGACCATAGCAAAGTTGAATTCCAAGGGAAAAATATT